CCAGGATTCCTATGTCCTTACTCTGTCTTACCTTATTCATCATGCAGTTGCTTGGGGCTCTTGGTATGACCACGTCCGGCGTTACTGGGACGAGAGAGCAAACCACCGTATCCTGTATCTTTTCTACGAGGACATGAAAGAGGTTAGTCTGAGTGCTGTAACATGTTAGGGACTATCTAAAAGTATATGTAACTGTGGTGGTAGTGCTTAGTCATCTGAGTGTCATAAGGGAAAAGACCGGGGGAACTGCGATCCCCCGCGATACCCCCCGAAATGACCTCTGGTGATAGTGCTTAGTCATCTGCGTGTCATAAGGGAAAAGAGCAGGTGCTAGCCCCAAGGACCATATAATTTCAGTTGTGGGGAAGACAAGACAGGGATCGAGAAGGGGAGGAAGAGACATGAACACAAGGCAAGCCCACGTTGTTTTAGCTGGAGTGAGCAACTCCATGCCTGGTCACTGAGGGGCACCACATCACTCTTAAGTGTGTATAGGTGTTATCTCCTTGAACGGGATGCCTCTCTTTGTCTTAATCTGGGAGCTGCCCTCTGACCCCTCCTCTCTCCCTTTGCCCTCCCACTTTTTCTTCACATGGCCACCCATGGAGACAACCATGTCTCTGCCGGTCTCTCCTGTAGAAGCAATGCCCTCGTATTCCCACACACATGATGTCAGACAAGCTGGCCATTTGTGATAGGGAAAGCATTCTTTCGATTAGTCTTCTTTCTCTTCTTTTGACTGCAACCTGCATGTGAAGTGGATCTACCTGAATAAATGTAAGTTTACCAATTTTGCAGGATACTTCTTGGGAGATTCATTTACTACACTCAGTATCACACTTCTATGACTGGACAAACTCTACTATGGCCCCGGTCACATGGAGAATTTGCCACGCGAAAGGCACGAATGTCGGGCAGATTTTCAGGGTGCAATCACACCGCAACCAGAGGTCTTTTCGGGGGGGAACGTGGGGGAACGACCCGTGGCCAACCCGTGGCGTCCCGCTGAAGATGCAGAGTTTAAAAGTACCAAGGAAAGTGCACTAGTATCCAGAAAATGCACGGCAGAGGCGGGCGACTGATCGTGGGAACACAAGTATCCTGTGGCATCCGGCGCCCATCCACGTCCCATCGCAAACTGATGTTTTTCGTAAGCACATTCGCGCAAACATGAAACTGAAAGCAGTGCTGTTCTGTGGAACTGCGCACGCGCACAAACGCGAAACACTTGTGTGATCGCACCGCGCTGCTTCTTTGCCATGCTGCATCATCGACGTGTGATCACCAGCTAACAGCCGAAGCACGGAGACTCGGGGGACTGTGTGATCTGGCTACCGCGCTTTATTTTGCTCCGGGGCGAACAGCCACGCCTCCCCCCCACACGTTATCTGGCCCGTGTGACCGGGGCCTATATTAACCAAATATCCCAATAATTTTGACTGTGGGTGAGTTGTTCACACTCCACTCACTCTTTGTCACCATTACTCTCTAAATACAAATTCTGAGCTCCCGCTATGCAATTTTAGTCTCTCCAGTGTATTATCTTGTCCATGGGGATAAGTAATCATAATTTATACTTGTTTTATTTGAGTGAGGAGAATTCCATTCTTCTATACTTCATAACAATATTAGAAAAATCTAATATTGCATTGCCTGACCTGGATAGCCTAAGGTAGCCCGATCTCATCAGATCTTGGAAGCTAAGCAGGGTCAGCCCTGGAAGTTATTTGGATGGGAGACCTCCTAGGAATACCAGAGTTGTGGTATGGAGGCAGGCAATGGCAAACCGCCTCTGAACATCTCTTGCCTTGACAACACTCTTTTTTTTTTAGCCCCCGGAGGGGATTTTTTATTTTTTTTTCAAACTACAAAAACTATCATAGAAAAGGGGAAGGGGGACTACATATACGGGACAAAGTATAGAAACCCACTGCTGACTAAAAACCCAAGAGAGGAGATCCTCACTAGCTTCATTACATCAAGTCTTAACTTCATTTAGATCAATATAAACTGAGTCAGACATTTAAGTACTTTTTCCTTTTCATTAACTCTTAAAACTTAACTGTCTAAGAACAGTACCCCCCAGTCATACCCATTCACAGTTCTCAAAGGCACAATTCAGAGTCTTTCAGCCTTTACTTCTCTTTTCCTCGTCTCTTCCACAGCTTATAAGGACTTTTGTGGGCAGCTGCCCCTTGCTCCGTCAGAGAGTCCTCTCCGGAAGAACCCGAGTCCAGTTCGCCACTAGACTTGCAGTCCTCTTCTTTTTCCCCGTCCTCTGGTCTTCCCAGCTGAACCCTTAGAGATTCTTGAGCTTTCAGAACAGAGTCAATCTTTTCTTTTTTATCCTTAAACTTGAAAGTAACGCCTTCTGGAAATAGCCATTTATATCCAATTGAGTTTGTCTGAAGGAAAAGCACAAGCTCTTTGTACTTCTTTCTCCGTTGTCTTGCTTCAAATGGAATATCCTTTAGCGTTCTGATAGTATTTCCCCCCACTTTCAGTGGTACTCCAGAAACCGCTTTCAGGATTGCATCCCTCACATGCCTTCTCAAGAATCTTATAACAATTTCTGAATGTGATTTTTGACATTTTCTCTGACATATATATTGACAGCTGT